GACCATCTATGAACCACAATAGGATAAGCAACACACCCAAGGAAAGCGCTAGTGACACCATCGGAGTCTGATATTCAGGCAGGCAACTGCCCGAGGCAGCTGCAAGGGTGCTGAAAACATCCTATCCACTGCCTGAACCCTCACCATTCAAACCCACTCCTCTGTGGAGATAAGTCGGAGGCAGTGGGGGTGAAATGGGTAGGTTTGCATCATCCTGCCTCTGCCCCTTACCAGCTGTGAGGCCTTGGAAAAGCCCCTTGAACTTCCAAAGCCTCAGTTTTATCACAGCCAGGTACAGACACCTACCTACCTGGGATGGTTCTGCGGTTAAAGCAAGATGACCCAAGGAGAGGCACTCGGGCAACTCCGGAACACCCAGGGGCATTGCCACTGGGGAGATGACCTACTTAGCAGAGAAAATAGGATCTTTCTCATGGGGTTGGATACGGAATAGACACACTTTAAAGGGGAAGGCAAGGCTGGAATTGAATGATTCATTCGGTCAACACATATCTGACGAGCCACGCCCCACCCGGGCCGTGGGATACAAGGATGAACAACAGACCCGGTTCCTGTTCTCACGGAGCTTGGAGCAACGCTCTCCATGCAGTAGCCACTAGCCACCGGAGGCTATTTACATTTAAATGGATTAAAAGTAAACAAAACGGAAAGTTCAGACTAGTCACATATCAAGTGCTGGAGTGCCCATGTGGCTAGGGGCTACCATCCTGGATGGCACTGACAGACAACACTTCCATCAACGTAGAAAGTTCTCATGGATACAGTCTAGCTGGGGAGACAGACCCTAACCAAAGAGCCAGACAAACCCCTAATTACACCCTGTGCCAGCGAGAAGCCCTGAGTGAGGAATAAAGCCAGGAAAACCTCTGTTTTCAATGAGCCCAAGACCCCTGCACCTTCTAGAGCTGTTCTCTCCAGGGCTGGAGATGGGGGGGGGGCAGGGAGCAGCCCCCCAGAGACATGAGGCTTGTCTATGACAATGTCTGACCTTCTAACAAATGCTACCAGGGTAGCCCCTGGTTGAGAGAAACGGCCAGGATCGGATCCTAGCTCTGCCACCTGCACGGTTGTGGGCCAGGAATTAACCGACCTCAGTGTCTCCATCTGTCACATGGAGTGAATGATAGCATTTGCCTAGCAGCAGTTCTCAACCTGTGGGTCGCGACCCCTTTAGGGTCGAACAGGGGTCGCCTAAGACCATCGGAAAACAAAAAGATACTTACATTACGATTCATAACAGTAGCAAAATTACAGTTATAGAGTAGCAACGAAAATAATTTTATGGTTGGGGGTCACCACAACATGAGGAACTGTATTAAGGGGTGGCGGCATTAGGAAGGTTGAGAACCGCTGGAGCATTCCTGGTGGGGTAAATACTTTAAAGAAGGGAACGCTTAGTAAGCTCTGGCACCCAGTAAGCACTACATGAGTTATCATGATGATGATGATGATGATGATGATAATCCACGGGTCCTTGAACTTTTGTGGGGGGGGAGATGCACCTGCCACTCAATAGCCACCTTCATTTTCACTCTTTGCTTCCCAAAGTATCCCCAAAGCTAAACTGGTCATCTCAGAGTCCCTCTGTAAAATAAGCCGGGAAAGGGAATATAATAATAACTATAATACTAGTCAACTCACACTAAGGTCTTCCCACGTGCCAGGCTCTATGTGAAGCGCTTTACATATATTATGCGTTTCATCTTCACAACAACCCCACTTTAAGTATGAGGAGGAAATTGAGACTTACAGAGGTGAGCTTGCCCGCGTCAGTTCCACTAGGCACCACCAGGTGGCGGTGCCCGCTCACTTTCCAATTCTGCGGTCAGACCCCAACACTGAGGAAGGGTCTGCCCCGCAAATCTTTATTGATCGCCTACTGTGTGCTAGGCACTGTTCTAGGCTCTGAGGATACGTCGGCAAATAAAACGAAAAAAACATGCTGTCCTTCCCTTCCACTTGTCCTTAAAAATAATAAAAGGTATTCACGGAGATGCGTAGGTGGCCTGACCAACAGTACACTAGCTTGGCTGGGAGGGAACTGGGGGAGGCTCCCAGGAAGAGATGAGAATATCTGAAAGGTTCGTGGTCTCCAAAAATCAGGGCAGGTTAACTACCCCACCGGAAGGGAGTGTTATTCTCCCACCTTCCTGCCCTCCGCCCCCCCACACACACACACTCTCCACCCCCACCACAGGGAGATGGGGAGCAGGGTTCAACTTCCTGTCGTGTCCTGTAGGGCCGGGATGGGATAGGGTGGGTGGGGTGAGGGGGTCTCACCCTAGGACACTAGAGTCGGGGGTCCTCAGAGTTCTGGGGTTTTTTAGGGGAGACCTGAGGAATCCAGCCTAAGGTCACCCAGGGAACCGGTGCCTTGGGGGTGCTGGAGCTGTCTCCCAGGCCGGTTCCGGGCAATGCCCACTTCGGATGGCGGGGTGGACTAGGACCCGGACTCAGGCTCCAAGGCCGCCGGGTGGGCGCGCGTTCTGGCTGTGCCCGGGGCTCCGGAGTGTGTGCGCCCGCCGGGAGAATGGTGGACGTGTGTGGACGTGGGTGATGTGAGCCGCGTTGGTGATGGGGCTCCTGCGTAAGTACCCATGTGCGGGGTGTACCGTGTGGACACGTATGTTTGGGGTGGCCAAGGATGCGGGTGTTGACCCAGTGTGCGCAAAGGGACACGGACACGAGTGGGGCGGGGGTGAGTGGAGTACACGCAGGTGAGAAAGGGCTGCGTTCCGACCTGCGTAGAGCCGCACGTGTGTGCGTGGCGGTATACAGAAGCGTTGGTGGCTTTGGGACGCGCTCCGCGGGAACCTCTCTGCGTCCGGGATCCGGTGCTGGCAGATTGAAAGGAAGTTACTGTTTAGGAACCCACGTTGGAGAGTGCCCTGGGTGGGGTACAGCTCCTTCCCTGGGATACTCATGGGGCTATCCTCCGTGTGTGTGTTCCCGCAACTGGATGGACCTGAAACCGGTCCCGCGCATCTGGACTGCTTACGGCGCACTGTGGATGTGGGGTGAGAGTCCTCGAATTGGGAACATGGCAGGGGGTCGCCTCAGTGCTCCGGACAAGCATGGGGCTTGCGCCGGTAGGTGAGCGCAATTGGTGCGGTGTTGGGTGCGCAACAATCCGCAAGGCGGGAGCCAGGACCCGGGCTCCGAGGCTCCGGGGGGCGGGGCTCTGAGGCTCCGGGGGCGGGGCCTGCCAGAGGGGCGGGGCTGCGGCGGCTGCAGCAGCGCGGGCCGGGCCAGGGGGCGCTTCGCGCGGCTTCGGTTCCCGAGGGCGATGCAGTGAGGCCGAACCGCCGGGCAGGCGCGCGCGGGGCGGGGGCCGCGGCCACGCTGCAGAGATGTGACTCAGGCCGAGGACCAGCGGGAGCGTCGGCGCTGCGCGGCCGCGGGGGTAAGTGAGTGCGAGCCATGCCGATGGGGTGGAAGGCGCTGCAGGGACCCCAGAAACTTTTCCTGCGGTGGACTTGGGAGGATTGGGGGGCCGGCCTCTTATGCTTTTCTAATCTCCCCAATGGGTTAGTCTGTTGGGGGATTTGGGGGATCGGATGGGGGGGACCATAGTGCAGCGGGAAAGGAGCCGCAGAGGGCAGAGCGGGGATGAGGGAAGGGTTGGGGATCTTTGCGGGGGGGGGTGCGCAGTGTCCCCGGACCAGCTGGGGATCCAGGTATGGGGCGAACACAGGTAAAGGACAGCTGGGAGTGCTGTAAAAGGGTCCAGCCGTGCCCGAGTGACTCGCCGTGTGAGGGGAGCCGCGCGGGCAGGTCCCGGGGCCGCGCAGCAAGCCTTTGGGGGGCTGACCACAGACAGGGCAGACGGACCCGGGGGCACAAGGGCCGGACTTTGGGGGTGAGCTGCCGCACCTGCCGCAGGGGTTGGAGGCCAAGCTCGCAGCCGGCCGTGGCTGCGCACTACGGGACAAGGAGGGGACACTGCGGGCAGAAAGCAGCAGAACTGAGACCTGGGGTTGGGGGACAAATGAGGGGCGGCTGCATACAATGGCGCGGGGTAGGTGGGGATGGTGGCGCTTCTGTTCCGGCCAGGCTGGGGGTGAGGACCAGCCTGTGCGCCTAGTCCCTGCTCCTTTGGGGGACACGGGTTCCCGTCCGGGATCCTTATCTCCGGCACCCGCCTTGGCCCGGGGGCGCTGGTTAACCAACCGGAGAGGGGAGCACCGACCTTGCCGCATAGGACGGCCCCGGCGCAGCTCGCGGGTGCATTGCCGGGCCCTTGCTCTGTCACATACAGGCCTGGCCAATACCCCCCCATCCCCCCACCCCCCATACACACACTAGCCAGTAACACACACACACACACACACACACACACACGCACGCACGCACGCACGCACACACTGTCCCCTGTTCGCTAAGGGGGCGGCTCCTTGGAGCGCGGACAAAGGCCCCTGGAGTGTGGCGGGCAGCGGCGTCCCTGTCTGGGGCCCCGGCCCACGCGCCACATTGGCTGCCCGACTGCGCCGCCAGGATGGATGGCGGGGGGCGGGTGTGTGTGTGGGGGGAGCACCTGAGCAGAGCCCGGGAGGAACTGGGGGGGGACCTCTCAAAGACTAGAGAAGTTGGGGGCGGAGGCCATTTGGCACACAAAAGCCTCGGAACTTCAGCCAAGGAACCTTGATTAAGAAGTTTCCTCGGTGGGGTGGGGGCGTTCGGGGGATTCAGAGTTCGAGTTAAACTGCATGCAAGTAGATGTAAATAGAATGCAAATCGGCGTCTGTCGGCTGGGAGCCCTCCACCAGGCCAGTTTTGTTTCTAGACCGTGGAGCGCACGTTTCCTGCCGGCTCCCTGCTCTTAAGTCTGAAAAGGGGTCAGCTGTGTTGGGAAGGGACGAACATGGAAGGGGAAGGATTCGTTCGCCATTTGGGGCACAGGCGCCGAGGCAAGCGGTCTTGTTAGAAAGAGAAGCTCAAACATCTTTATTTCAGTAAGGGTGCCAGCTACAGAAGTGGGTCTGGGGCACTGCAGTGTGCAACGTGGACCAGCCCCTGCTCTCAGGGTGCTGGGGAGGCGGTGAACACACACAAGTAAACAGATACAACTTCCGATTAGGACAAGGGCTGCCAGGAAAATCACTCAGTGCTGTAAAAGAAAGTGACAAGGGTTTGTATACATAAGGGAAGGCTAGGGGAGTGGCATGTGAGTGGAGCCCCCAAGATGTCCCCCCACACACACACACACTGGGAGATCTTGTGGGTGAGACTGCACCAGGCAGAGGGCACTGCAAACGCAAAGGCTTGGGGGTGGGAATGAAGTTAGGGGAGCTGAACAAAGGCTATTGTGTCTCGAGCTCTTAGGCAGAATGGGGGTGGGGGGGGTGGGCAGGAGAGGGGATGGCAGGGACCAGCCAGACCTCAAACTTTTGGGCCCCGGAAAGTAGTGTAGGTTTTATACTCCTTGGGCCAGTGAACCCTTGGAGAGTTTTGAGTGGGAAGCCACAGGATCTGATTTTTAAAAGCTCCTTTGACCTCCACAAGGACATGGAAAGTAACTTCCCTTTCCTTCTGCCTCTGGGGATGGCAAGGCGCCGGGAGCCTCCGAGGGTCTCTGTCCAGCCTGTGGGGATCGCTTTGAGCCTGGCCATCCCTGGGAGCCCACTCGAGGAGTGGCTCGGGCTTTTAAATCTTCTCCCCACTTTGAAGCAGCCCTGGCCCACCCTGAGCAGCCCCCACCCAGAGCCCATGGCCCCGTAGACGCTTCCACACGGAGCTTCCTGGGGGGTTCTGAGTTAGTCACATTTTCTTCTCCGGATTACAGCCCAAAAGGAATCACCAGCCAGTGGGGAAGGGCAGCCAAGGATGCAGTTTGCATTTAAATGATTGCTTTTATTTACAGGATCGGGGCTGCTTTGCATATTCCTGTGCAAAGAGCTTGTGTTCTGGCAATCCTATTGACTAACCTCTGAGGGTTATTAAATTCCACGGCTCCCAAACAGGCTGGTGGTCTGGGCAGTGTTGGGAAATGAAGACCGTGAGATGGTGTAACTTGGAAAAGATAACAGAGGGTGAGATTGCAGCTCTAGGAAAGAGTTTAATGTTAGGAAACCTCCTAACAGTTTAATCCTGCCCGGCAGGAAATGCACCAGCCACTGTAACAGGAGTGGGCTGGGGCAGAGTGTAATCCCGGGTGCCTGCCAGACACGGGGGGTGGTCAAACCGGGGGTGCAGTGGAAAGGCCTTGAGGTCGGGCGTTGGGAGAAATCGGTCCAGTCGCAGCTTGGCCCGTAAATTCCAGTAAACCTCTGCCAAGCTGCCTCTCCTCTACCTTCATTTTCCCAGCGGGACAATGGGAATCACGATTATCTTTTTAATAAGATAATATTAATCTACACCATGTGTGCCAGGCACCTTGCTGGGTACTTTTCATGTATTTTTCATACCAGTGGCACTATCGTTACGTTCATTTTACAGAAAAAGAGACTGAGGGTCAGAGAGGTTAAGTATTGCCCAGTGTCACACAGTTCTGTCTGTCTGGCTTGTCTCCCACTGAGGTCTTCTCTCCAGGAGGCACATGGGAGTGTGAATTCTGTGCCAGGTATTCATCCCGTTACCAGTCCATGCCCAGAACTAGGAAAGCCCCTCCCCATCTGCTCATTTTTTCTTTCCTTTCCATGTTCCAGTGCCTGCCCTCCTCTTTAGAGAAGGTGGGTTTAGGAGGCCTCTGACCTGCTGGGCACTGAGAGGGGACCCTGGGATGGAGGATGAATGGCCTCCTTGGAGCCCTGATGATGGTGGCCAAGGTGAGGCTGGTCCGAGGGTGTGCTCCAGAGCCGGTTTGTACAGCCTATATCTCCTTTCACACGTGTGGGTAGGAAGATGGGGTGCTGGTTCCCAGAGGATGGCTTGTGTCTGGTCTCTGGGTGTCCTGGCTCTGAGCCCTCATCAGAGACACCTGGTTTCGGGGCAGTCAGGTTGGCCTCCATTCCTCTGGCCTGGGTTCCTCATGGGAAAATCACCCTCACAATGAGGTTCCCACTGCAGAGATCAGGGGGGCCTTGGGGATTCTCAGGGCAGACCACCCCCAAAGGCATCGCCCCTTCACACCACCTCAGGGACCTCTTTACTTGGTTTGTGATGGGGGAGGCTGGAAACCAGTGGTGGACAGACACCTGGTGAGCCCCACTTCCAACTCCATCTCCATGGCAACCGCCCCTCCTGGAAAAGCAGTAAGAAAAGCTCACCAACATTTGCCAATCTTTTCTATGTACTTAACAGACACTTTATAGTATTGCTTCCCCTATAGTAACTATTGCCCGAAACCCTAATTGTTCATTATTTTAATTCTCACAGCAGCCCCCACTTGATGGGTACTATTATCACCCTCATTTTTCAGATAAGGAAACTGAGGCAAGAAAGGTTAAGTCGGCTGCCTGGGGTCACAGGGTGCCAGCAAGTGGCAGGAGCGGGACTTGGAACCGTAAGTTCTGCCTCGGAAGGACGCAGAGCTGGGTGGGGAGCGTGGCTAGGGGACCAGCCCTGTCCGCGGCCTTTGGGCACGCAGCGCTGCCTTTCTCACACAAGGAATCTTGCCTGAATTCTTTCCAGCCTCTGCAGGCCCCAGCTTGTGGGGGAATGGAGACATAGCGTGAGGCTGGACCACCTGCTTCTCGCCCCTCTGCAGGGAGACAGTGTGAGTGTGAGTGTGTGAGTGTGTGTGTGTGTGTGTGTGTGTGATGCAGGGTACTGAAGGGCTAAGTGAGGCCCATTTCTGGGAGCCTGGCTGGCAGCACCGGTAATTAGCATGTGAGCCGAGGCTTGCACATTCGTTCGCATTTATTCATGACTCCTTTGGAGGAGCTGCACGCCTCCATCCCACGGGTTTGTTGCCATATATTCATCCTGCCCTAGTCAGCCTTGCCTGGCGGCTGACTCGGAACCTCTCATCTGTATTGTTCAGTTTGGGGTTCCTGGAGAGCAGCTCAGCCCACCAGGGTGGGAGGCACCAGGTGGCTGGCTGGTGCAGCAGGACGGGCTTACCTGACAGTGGGCGCCCCTGCCGCCCCTGTCCTCAGTGTGCCCCAGCATCTGCGTACCCTTGGGGCTTGCGGACATGGGGGGCTGGGCCCCCTCCCCAATAGTCCGCCTTCTAACAAGTTCCTGGGTGATGCTGGTGCTGTTGTCTTCCAAGGATCAAACTTTGACCGAAACCTCTGAGACCGTCCATCCCCTCCTCTGGTAGATGGCAGTGAGAGCAGCTGTCTGCTGGTGACATGAGGGTCGGAGACCCTATTTAGCAATTCATTCATTCAGCAACTGGGCTGTGAGCCCTGCCCGTGTGCCAGGCATTGGGGTATCGATGCAAAACAAGACGAACTAGGGTGTGGGGGTGGGGGTACAGACTGAAAGAGGAATAAAATAATTGAAAATTGTGGCACATGCAACAAAGATCCAAAGTACTGGCACAGAGCATAAAGGGCGGGAGAACCTAGTTCAGACAGACTGCCAGCAAAGGGCTCGCCAGGTGACATTTCTAGAGCCCTGGCCTGCGGTAAGAGCCCAGTAACAACAGTGCACTTGTTTGTCTCTTGGCTCTGCTTTCTAGCTGTGTGACCTTGGACAAGCCAGCTGACCTCCCTGTTTTATTTCCTGTAAAATGAAGATAGTAATGGTACTTGCTTTATAGCATCATTGTACAGATGATAAAGGCATTAATATACTCGTATGTGAAGAGTACAGAAGAGCGCCTGGAGCATAGGAAGCACCAGGGTTCAACAGTCATTGCCACTGTCACTGGCAGAAACAGAAAACTCTGCAGGGCAATTTTGAACCCTCCAAAAATCCTAGGTGGGCCAAACTCGGCTTTATTCTGTGAGGCAGTCTGTAGGCCTCCCAGTCACCATGGACAAGGGTTCTATAGATTGGGGTGGCTGTCAACTCCTGGGCATCCTTGGCAACGCTAACGACCCACTTGAGCTGGACCCTGCCAAAGCCCCTGGCTGCCTAGGTACTGGGTACAGAGGACTTCCCGGAAGAAGAGGGCCACATGGCGTTGGAGGAATAACAGAACTTCTCTGTTGGCAAGTAACACAAACTCAGCTCAGACTGGCTTAATCCAAAAAAGGAAACATAACTGGCTGCTAGAACTGCGAAGACCAGGGTATCTGGCTTTAGGCATGGCTGAATCCAGCCAATCAATGTATTAGGACTCTATTCCATCACTTGGCCTCTGGGTCAGCTTTACTCTGGCACAGGTCCTCTCCCTATGACGGTAAATAGGTCCTCTACAGCTCCAGGCCTACCCCCTTCTAGCTTATCAACCCCTAACAGAAAGAGAAGACCGCCTTCCAGTTCATTGTACCAAACAGCCTAAGGCTGATTATCACGGGTCTGATGGGGCCATGCATCTGTCCATGAACCCATCGTGTGGCCAAAGGGCAGGACAAAAGCTCTGATTGGCAAGGCCTGGGTCAGGTGCTCGGCGCTAGGGCTTGAGGTGGCTTTCCGAAGGGCAATCAGGAACTCCTTTCAGAAACGGGACAAATAAATGGACACTAGGCAACAAAAACAACAGCTGTCCCGGAAACAGCGCGTTCCACGCTCAGGAATGAAAGCAGAAATCAAGGGTGTGTCCGTTGACCACGTCAGGAGTGGAAGCGAGAGACCTGGACCGGGGCCAGAAGCATGGTCGCCATCTTGGCTTTTTTCATCATCCCCCGTTGGTTTCCTGTTGTGGCTGGAAGGCCAGCCGGGTAGGAGGAGGAGCTGGGGAAACCAAGTCCCAGTTTGTAGGCAGGTCTGGAGAGAGGAAATCTCAAGCGAGTGAGTGGAGGCAGCCAACGAAGGCCAAGTTCCTGCAAGGAGGGGACGTGGGGTGAGAGCCTGGCTGGTTTCCTGACACCTTCCCCATCAACTCCGACCTCCAGTGTAGAAACCAGACTTTTTCAGCCTCAGAGCTATGGACATTTGGGCCGGATAATTCTTTGTTGTTGGGGGAGGAGGGCATCCTGTACATTTGTAGGATGTTTAACAGCGTCCCTGGCCTCCACCCACTAGGTGCCAGGTGCACTCCCTTCCCCAGTTATGACAACCATAAATGTCCCTAGACGTGGCCAAATGTCCCCTGGGGTCAAAACTGCCCCTGGTTGAGAACCACTGGCCTAGAGGCCATGTGGAGGGAGGGCTGGTGGTCCTACCCCTCATCCCCCTAGCCCCGCTGGGGCTGCGGTTGGCTGCTGAGTGACCCAGAGAGAGGCTGCGTGGGGTGTGTCCTGTTTACTTACTGAGAAGTCTTGTAATCGCTTTTGGCATTGATGAGATGTCTGGGGGAACGACAGTGTAGGGCCCCTTCACCCTGTCAGGGGCGCTGATGGCATTCTGTTTCCACATCTCCGGTTGTTGAATTTTCACCCCCATCACGTTTACAGGACTTTGTGACAAGCGGCTCTGGCCAGGACGATATTTTTCCAAAGGGTAGTATGTTGGGATATACCACTGGGCATACAATGTGAGTTACGTCAACAAGCAATTTTAACATTTCGAGAGATAAGTATTTCAATGTGTTGAGTTTTCTTTTAAGTGAGTCGATTTCAAGGACTTGGTGAGTCGGTTAAGTAAATAACTGCACAGGTGGTGTGTAGACAAGAGATAAGTAGCTGCAGTGGCACTCCAGTGACCGACGTGGCAGGGCCATGAATAGTGGCTAGACCGTGGGCCCCATTGCCAATGTTTGGGGTGCATCGTCACCTCTAATTTGCTTGAGTGGGATGCTGGGATGCTTGTGTAAGGACCATCTCTTGCCAGACGCCTTCCGTTCTGAGCCCGCCTTCTCTTATCGATAGGCAAAGGTGACGGTCCCCGCAGCACCAGGCCCCTTCTGGGTCGGTGGCATCAATAATTTATCCCAGTCAATGGCCTCACGGCCAAGGCAGGATAGGAGCTGCTCTCAGGATCCTGTAAAAGAGCAGAGGGAGGTGGTCGATACTGCATTTACTTAGGGAAGCCCCAGGGACGGGCTGGAGTTGCCTGGAGTTGGCTGGTTACAGCCGCACATGTGGGTGGAGCTAAGGCAGCAAGTCCCTCTGGAGCTGTGCAGGCGAGCTGCACAGCCCGGGGCTCTCTGAAGGCCCGGCTCCCTTCAAAGCAAAGTGGCAGTGGGTAGAGGAGAGTCCTGGTGACTTGGGGGCATTTACTGAGCATCTACTTTGTGCCAGAACTGTGTGCTAGTGCTTCAGTCTATACGGGTCATGCTCATCCTGGTGATATCCCCCCCCCTACCCCCAGGGGACATATGGCAGTGTCTGTCTAAAGATTGGGTTGTCACAACTGGGGGAGGGGGGTTGCTTCAGGCGTCTAGTGGCTGGAGGCCAGGGCCACTGCTAAACATCCTACAGTGCACAGGACGGGCTCCGCAACACAGAATGACCACACGCAAAATGTCAGTCGTCCCGAGGTTGAGAAATCCCGGTCTGTGCTGATGAACAGGACAAACAGTGTCCCTGTCCTCTTGCAGCTAGCCATGGGGAAAGAAAGGAGGGGAGGAGAGGAGAAAGGGATGCGAGATACAAAGGAAACGCACAAAGGTGACAAGTATTAGAGCTAAGACAGAAAGAGGAGGCCCCAGTAGAGAAGAATGGGGGTGTGACCTTGGCCAAGGTCTGAGTGGATGACTAGAGCTGAGACCAGCGCTGCGGGGCATGTTTTCCATGCTGGGGGTTGGAGGCGCATCCAAGCACAGGGAACTGTAAGGGCCAGGGGAGACTTGGGTTAAGCCCGTCCCCAGCTTGCATGTGGGCCAGAGAGAGCGCCAAAGAGCATCCTGTGAGCCACCCCGGAGAAGTGGACTGGCGTGGAGTGAGAGGATGGAGTCTCTGGAAATCTTTGGAGGGTGGGGGGGTGCTGTGAGAAGAGAGGACAAGTGTGGAACCCTGGGAGACAGTTCATTTTGGGTCTACGGTACTGCATTTGAAATGCAGGGAGGCTTCTAGGAGCTGGGTGGTGTGAGCTTGGGCAAGCGTCCTAACTTTCGGGGGACTGTTTTATCACCCGTGTGAGGACTGGGTGGGGTGCGTGCCTGGCCGAGAGCGAGTCGTCGCTGTCAGCTGTTACCACTGAAAGACTGAAATGGGGTGACGCGTGCCCTTCTCCCAGCAGCTCCTGGCCCATGGCTATCTCTTTCAAGTTTCATCGTATCCCCTTATTTTTGAAGAGGTCAGACGTGGCCTCAAATTCAAAGACCATGAAAGGGTATTCAGAGAAAGTGAGTCTTCCTCTCACTTTCCTCCACCACTAGCAGTGATGACTCATGGCTGTTCGCTGGGCCCGGCCAAGGCTGCAGATGGGAGCTGAAAGCCTTCCCCACCCCCACCCGCCGTGACTGGCTGTGCTGCCTGGAGAAACGGGTGCCTTTTCTTGAGCGCCCAAAGGCGCGACGTGGGCTAGCGGGTTTGAAGTGAGGTGGGTCTCCTTAAAAAGTCGGAAGAGTGGGAGAGTCTTACGGTGAACTGATCTTTTTTTTTTTCCTACCCCCTACTTCTCCGGCACGTTCATGGCGTCAGAGGGGAAGATGAGAACCCAGCAAGCCCTCGCCTTCCTCCTGCTCTCTGTGATCGCCTCCGGGGCCTCTGAGAACGCCAGCACGTCCCGGGGCTGCGGGCTGGATCTCCTCCCTCAGTACGTGTCCCTGTGTGACCTGGACACCATCTGGGGCATCGTGGTGGAGGCGGTGGCCGGGGCGGGCGCCCTGATCACACTGCTCCTGATGCTGATCCTGCTGGTGCGGCTGCCGTTCGTCAAGGACAAGGACAAGAAGGACCCCGTGGGCCTCCACTTCCTCTTCCTCCTGGGGACCCTGGGCCTCTTCGGGCTGACGTTCGCCTTCATCATCCGGGAGGACGAGACCATCTGCTCGGTGCGCCGGTTCCTGTGGGGCGTGCTGTTCGCGCTCTGCTTCTCCTGCCTGCTGAGCCAGGCGTGGCGCCTCCGCAGGCTGGTGCGCCACGGCAAGAGCCCGTCGGGCCGGCAGCTGGTGGGCGCGGCGCTGTGCCTGATGCTGGTGCAGGTCATCATTGCCGTGGAGTGGCTGGTGCTCACGGTGCTGCGCGACGCGAAGCCCGCCTGCGCCTACGAGCCCATGGACTTCGTGATGGCGCTCATCTACGACATGTTCCTGCTCGCCGCCGCCCTGGGGCTGGCCCTCTTCACGCTGTGCGGCAAGTTCAAGAAGTGGAAGCAGAACGGGGCCTGCCTGCTGGTCACGGCCGTGCTCTCCGTGCTCATCTGGGTGGCCTGGGTGACCATGTACCTGTTCGGCAACGCCGAGCTGCGGCAGGGCGACGCCTGGGGCGACCCCTCCTTGGCCATCACGCTGGTGGCCAGCGGTTGGGTCTTCGTCATCTTCCACGCCATCCCTGAGATCCACTGCACCATCCTGCCGGCCCCGCAGGAAAACACGCCCAACTACTTCGACACGTCGCAGCCGAGGATGCGGGAGACCGCCTTCGAGGAGGACGTGCAGCTGCCGCGGACCTACATGGAGAACAAGGCCTTCTCCATGGACGAGCACAACGCAGGTAAGCGAGCGGGGCGCCGCCCGCTGGCTGAGGCTCTGGGAACGCTTGTCCTAAAAAGACTCTCTTCTTTGTCTCCAGTGGGGATGGCTGGCCCTGGCACAGCAGAGCCCATAAAGGTTAACCCTCCTGTTAACGTTGATTTAGAATTTTTATTCATCTAGATTTTTTTTTTCTATCCATTTCCACCTAATTTAATATAAACACCCAGCCAGGTTCCTGGCGTCTTTTGAGAAGTTGGATCTGGCAACACCAGGCCACGGTTCCCAGCTAGTAGCAATTGTCTGGAGCTGGCTCGATGGCCCTGCCTCTTACCCCTCACTGGGGTGTGGCTGCCCCTCTGGATGGAGATCCACTTCCTGTTTGCCACACTCCCCACCATTCCCTATTGTCCCTGACCCAGCCCTCCAACGTGTTAACATTAATTACCTGGCTCCCTGGAAGTGTCCGTGGTTGCAGCCCAAATGTAGAGGGGGAGGGACAATGCTCGTGCCCGGTCCCTGACATCCGGAACCAAGAGTGTAGGAATTTGGACCCCTGAGTCAGATGTCTGGGTTCAGATCCTGCTTCGGCCACTTCCTGGATGTGTGGCTTTGAGTACTTTACCTCTCTGAGCTGCAGTTTTTCTCTGTCAAAGAGAAATGAGAGAATGTGTCTCACAGAGCTGTACTGAGCAGTCACACGCTGAGTGGAACATACAAAGGGCTCCCACAGTACCTGGCATGTTGGATGTGCATCTTGGTTGGGTTCCCCTGAGAGCAGAGCCTGAGACCTGGTGCAGGTGACTGACTTGGGAGGGCAGCGTGGGGATCACCTCCAGGAACCCAGAGGACCCTTCAGGGGATGAGCAGAGGCCAGGGGCCTGGCCAGTTCCTGAGATCCTGCCACCTCTTCCTCGGCTCCTTCTAGAACAGGATCCTCTTTATCTGAGCCCCGGGGACTCCCCAGGGACTCCCTGGTAGTGGGAACCCCTGAAATGGATGTACATTTTCATACATTCATCGGGGAATTGGTCTGTCACTTTGTCAGTTTCTCAGAGCCGTCTGTGACCACCCCCCCACTCCCCCCCACCCCCGCCAAAGGTTAAAAACTTGATGGTCTAGTTTCCTTGCAGTGAAATGGGAATGCTGGAACTACCCAAGTATTAAGGTCTTCAAAACTAAGGATGGCTAACCTTTACTACGTGCTTGTTATCACGGACCAGCTCCCGTTCGGAGCATCATAGTAGCTAATCTCACTTCATGCCTACCGTAACCCAATAAGGTCCATTTGCAGACAGGAAACGGAGGCACAGAAGGGCTAAGTGACTTGCCCAAGAGGTAGAGCTGGGGTGTGACCCCAGGTGAGCTGACTCCAGAGCTGACACGCTTGACCACGCTGCTACAGCATTGCTCTACTCTTCTCAAAGCACGTTAGAGTCCCTCATCTCACTGACATGTCAGGACAACTCTGCATTGAGAAGACAGGGGTTGTCAGTCCCATTGTACAGAGCAGCAAACTGAGGCAACTTGTTCCAGCTCATGCTGTACGTACACAGCAGAGCAGGGAGGGGGAAAGCTGGTTTTCTGAATCCCATACATGATCTTTCCCTGTGAAAATGCAGCCAATACCTCATACCCACATAAGGCCCACAGATCAAAGGGAACTGGGACCCGGGTCGGGACCACCAGTGCCAGGGCTGGCACAGGGGGCTGTGGGGGGTCCAGAGGTGCCCCCCGCCCCATCTGTTTTACACCCTGACATGTACTAGAGCCAAGGAACTTGTCTTCCAGTCCCCCTCTTTCTTTTCCAAAACAAAAATAGCTTTATTATTCTTTTCTAATGACAAAAGATTGATAATCATGTAGAAGGTTTGGCCAAGTACAAATAATAAAAAATGCTCCAAGTCCCACTGCCCAAAGGCAGCTACTGCGGTCGGTGTGCTCCCATCTTGCCAGACATCTCTCGATGAGCACACACACAGCCTGCTCTACGTCCCCCCCCACACACACACACACAACAATCCCACAGAGCCGCTCTTACCCTGGTTGCACATGAGGCTCACTTGGGCGGCTGAAAATCATGCCCAGTGCCTGCCCCTCATTCTGGTGACGTCTGCTTGGGTGTAGGAATTCTTTCAGCTCTCCAAGTGATTCTGAGACGTCAGCAGGTTGAAAACACTTGTCTCAGAGGTGTTGTGCCGCGTGCTTGCTTCAACCAGTGTCATGGCTGGAGGCCCTTCCGGGTCAGGGACCACAGAGCCACACTACCCCTCCCAAGATGCAGAGCTTTTCAACAAGCCCCATGATTGAGTTTCCTGATCTTCAGCTGGGAAGTATCCCACTTGCTTCTGGCTTTCCATATAAAGTCATGCTGCGATGAACATTCTTATCCATTCATCTCTGTGCCCTTGCTCACTTAACTCCTTGTAAAAAAAAAAAAATCCTTGCAAAACTGCACCGAAAGGTGCCTCAAAGAATCTGCAACTTTAAATCTTAATATAAACTGCCAGACGGCTCCCCAGAATGGTGGACGCATTTACTGTCTCCCCCCCCGCCCCTTAATCACTGTATGAGAGCTCCATTTCCTCACTTCTTCAACAACCTTGGATGTTGTCAGACTTTTTAAAATAGCCCTAGTTTGCATCATTCCAAATGTGTGTCCACCGAAATTCACATGGGACCGGGCAGGGCAGGCTCCAGGCAAAGCCAGTTCCCTCAGAAAACTCGCAGAGAGAGGCTAAACTGGCATCCTAGCTGGGGCTGCCTTTGTTCTAGAAATCCTTGCTTTGCTAGCTGGGGAACACATGGGCACGCCCCCTTGCCATGGTGAGAACAGCTGTTGTCATCTTTGGTGCTGATCTCAGCCAGCTTATATTTTAGGGAACCAGGACCCACAAGGGCCCTTGCCCAGGTGCCACAGTGGCCCCCTTTCTCTGGCATTTTAACCAGCCAGCCTTTCAGGTTCTCTTCCCTTGAAAGTCTGCCCCTGACTCTAAGAGGTGGGAAGGGCGTTCCCCTGGCTGGCCTGTGGCCCAGCCATGCCCCAGCGCCCCAGAGGCCTCTGCTCCCTCATTTCCTCCCCCTGAGACCCCTGATATATACATAAGACTTCACCAGCCTAATGTTTATTCGTAAGTATCAACAAGGCATGAGGTATGTGAGTAAAAAGATTAAAATATCCTAAAGGATGCAGCACCTCAGATCACATCTTGGAAAGCGTTAATGAGGGGCATTAAATGTTCGCCTTTCAAAGGAGCAGGAAAGAAAAGTGTTCTTGCTTCTGTTAGGGGATTTGGGCTCTCAGATCTCATTAGGGCCATAGGCTATTTAAAGTCTGACTCTTAGCTTCCCAGTGCAAGGCCCTGAGTTGGCTTTGCGGACGGGCCAAGCTAATCTAGCCTCACCTGCAGAGTCTAGACAGGAGGAGGCTGGCATTCAACTTTTGATCTGTGATTCCTGTGGGGACCCCCTTAGGGGTGGGCCCTGCTTGCCTGTTAGAGCTGACCTAGGTCAAAGTGGGGGTGTTAGTTGGGATTCTTGAAGTTGCAAGTAATAAAAAAATCTGAATTGAATCAGCTTAACCAAAACGACACCAAAACTAATGTACTAGGGACAAGCTTCAGGAGTGGGTTAGATCTCGGAAGCTCAAAGTGACAAGATCTGGTCGTTCGCCATCTCTTGGCTCTGTCAGCACCGTGGCAGCCCACAGCGCTAGGCTTGCACAGTGCCCCGGTAGAAAGGAGGGCGATTTCCCAGGATGCTTAAGCAAAAATCCCAGCGTTAGCTCTGACTGGACCTGATGGCCCTTCCCTGAACCAATCAGCATGGCTGGGGAGATGTGACGCCCTGATTGGCCAGGCCTAAATCCCATGCCCACCTCGAGGCCAGGGGAAGAGGCCGCCAACAGTCAGGGACCTAGAACGTGGGAGAGACATTTACCAGAGAAGAACCACAAATAGCCACTATAGAGGGGGACCCCTGGGGTCAAAGCACCCCACAGGCTGGCGTGTAGAGTGGAGGGGAATCTGTTGGAGCCCAATTCCCCTAGCACAGCTGGCCAGGTCTCTGCATTTTGAGGAAAGCTGTGTTGTTTGGTCTTCCTTCTCTTCAAGCGGTTCTAGGCTGGGCACTGAGACTAGTAAGAGTCCATGAGTGGTGTCCTCTGTCCCCTGGTGCTGTGCCCTAGCTCCTCCTACTCAGCACATGCATAGCAGGCTGCTGAAGGCTTGGAGATGCTAAAGCATAGGGACGTCTTAGAACATGCATGCCCTACCGTGCTTCAGTTTCTTTGGTCCAGTCTGGGCTGAGATGCCCCTCATGTCACTTAAATTCAAGTCACTTCTAAGGAACTAAGTGTGGTGGTTTCAAACCATAGTATCCGGAGCCAGTATCGTGTGACAGACACAGATTCCCTGCCTGAATTCCAATGCTGGTCCTGCCACTTCCCGGCTGTGTGACCTTGGGCAAGTTACTTAATCTCTCTGAGCCCCACGTAAAGTGGAAATAATAAAAGTACCTATTGTGCTACGACAACTGAACAAGTTAATATATTAAAAGTACTTTCACAGTGCCTGTCTCTTGGTTGGCACTTGCGGAAGGTTAACAGTATGACCAACGTGATTTCTGGTCACCTGCCCCAAGGAATGTGTAAAAGTCCCAAGCTCTCTTGTTACTTTTTAGCCAGAAAAATGACTTCTTTCAGGAAGGCTTTTAGGAGAGGCTTTTCTTAGCAAAAGCAAGATTGGGGGCTTTAATGAGAGGGAACACAATAAAGATGCCATCACGCAATTGAGATGGACTTTTGATTTTTTTATAGTACTTCTTTCTCCACCGTTTTTTTGAGGGCAGTTTTAGGTTTACGGAAAAATTGAGCAGGAAATATGGCGAGTTCCCACATGCCCCTCCCCCGGTTTCCCTAATATTAACAATTTGCGTCCGTGTTTCATCCGTGTTGCAGTTGAGGTTTGGCCTTTTCCAGAATTACAGATAGAATCATACAGTAGGTAGCTTCTACAGACGGGCTTCTCCCACTATTTAGAAATAACCCTCCCCAAGTGGTTGGATTTCCTCTGTGCTGTCTCCCCTCACTTTCCCCAGGAAGACGACCTCTATCACAGACTGATGCCCCCACCTGTGTGTTGTTGAAGGGCGCGGCATTGAACAGCTGGATGTTGAACTTGACATGCATGACTTTCTGTAGTGAGGAGGTCTTTTGTCGGAGAGCTTCTGAGGGATGCAGAGGTGCTTCCCTGTCACCCGTGGCCAGCGTGGCCTGCAGGGGCTGGCGGCTGGGGGCGCGGCTAGAGACTCCACCCTGCCCCCCTCCAGCGGCCTGCCGCCTGGATTCTACAAACTTCCCAGCCTCACTGAGATGGGTCAGGCTCCAAGAGAGCCAGAGAACAAAGCCCCTTTGTGACTTTTGTTTGAAATCGGGCTTGTGACAAAGGGGAGGCAGGTGGGGGGAGGGGTGCGCCCTGAGTATGGTGTTGATGCAGGGGAAGCAAACAAAATCGTGTCTTGTGTTTTTTTTGTGTGTTTGGCGTTTTTGTGTGTGTGTTGCCTCTCCCTCCCCCTCTCAGCGCTCCGGACAGCAGGATTTCGCAATGGCAGCTTGGGGAGCCGACCCAGCGCTCCGTTTAGAAGCAACGTCTATCAGCCAACTGAGATGGCCGTCGTGCTCAATGGCGGGACTGTAAGTATTGAGAGGTGACGTGTTGGCAGGAAGGCTAAGAGTTGTGGGGGGTTGGGTGGGGGGGTGACAGCTTCAAGCTTCAAAGGGGACACACTGCTCTGTGGAGGCTGCTGATGCCCCCCCCCCTACCCCCGCCGCGGCTAGAACGCATGCGATGCTTCCATTGGTTTTCTTCCCCTCGCCACCCCCTTCTCCACACACCGAGACCCACCTATACCGACTGTACCAACCTGTACGTACCTTTGAAAGGGTCCCTGTTTCTTGGGACTCCTGTACCCAGTGAATTCTCTGGCTCTCACTGTATACAAGGTACCCTCACTGACTCCCTGGGAGGTAACTTGTAGGAAAAGCCCAGGACTGTGAAGCCCTGGGGGATTTTGCTGACATGTAGCCCCCCCCACCCTGCCCTCTTCACCCCCAGGCGGGTTCCCTGCCCCCACCACCACTCCTGAAGAATTGTCTTAAGAAATGGAAGTGATTAGCATTCCTCTCCCAGGAACACAAAAGCAGGTTTCCTATCTGATGCCAAACAGACCTTCAGCAGAAATTGTCACTGTTTATGTTTTGCCTGCGTGGAATGACATCATTTTGTTTCTCCGGCGCGTCCACAGAGGCGCTCTCATCCCCATATTTAATTTCCAAACACAGCTCCGTGCTTCTTCCAGAAACAGCGCATGAGCCCGCTCACATGTGTCAACTGGGTTTCCATTCATTCTCTCATGAGCCGCTTTTGTTTTTTGATGGAAGTTCAGGGATGGTCTTTGATCTCTCGAGGGAGCTTTGGTTTTCTGGGCCTTGTGAGTGGCATGCTAGGTTCTGGTCTGCACGGGTAAGGAGCAGGCTCAAAGACAAAAAGACGCGCAGCTTAGCATTCTGAGGACGCCCCACCGTCCGCTGGGCTGTCCGATTGTTGGGTGCCAAGAAAAGCCTGACTCGAGGCGTTGTGCTAGAACATATGTTGTTAGGAAGCAGCCCCATCACCGTCACTGTTAAGCCCCCCGGTCCCTTCAAAGCATAGGAACTGAAGTGGGTTTCTGGGTAAGAAAACACATTGATTCGGGAAGCATGATTACAGAGAACGGGAGATACACAGCCTTCCCAGGAACGGAGCGGCCTCACACACTAGTTGCTGCGTTTTTTTGGGGGAAACTCGTCAGCCCGTTATGAACAAGCAAGGTATCCGATCTTTGTGAACGCGTTGGTGTCGGACGCTGACTTTGCCAAGCACAGAGTTCTTAGTGTGTTATCCTTATTTCCAGATCCCCACCGCTCCGCCAAGTTACACTGGAAGACACCTCTGGTGAAAGACTCGCGTTCCAGAGAATAAGAATCTCTTACCGATTTTATTCCCTGGCTGCGTCTTTCTTGAGGGGGAAATCAGGCACAGTAGCCGCTCCAGGCCACCTCACAGCCAGGAGATTCAGGAATCCCAGACAAAGGGGATTTCGTGTACATGTGAACACTGCTGAACTGAAAAGCTAACACCGACTGCCCTCCCCTCCCCCGCTGCCACACACACACACACACACACACACACACACACACACACACGTAATACCAAACCAACCTCAATACCCACAAACTAAAGCAAAGCTAATTGCAAATAGTATTAGGCTCATTCGAAACTGTGGCCGGGAAGACTGTTGCATCCTCGGGGTGGGGTAGAACAGAACCAAGTTCACAGCCGGTGGCCCAGGCTGGTGTTGGTTGAATATGGAGGTCCCCACAGCATCAGCCCCTCCTCAACTCCGGTGGCCTCTTGGAGATGACCGTTTCATGGAGGCGGACCCAAGGGAGCCTGCACATTTCAGGGGGGGGGGTCACGAGCAGTTCAGGAGGTTGTGGGTGTGATTCCAATCAAATCGTGGGGTGAGCTTTACCACCAGTAGCAGTGGAGGGACACTGACATGTGCCAAAGAGGAGATGCCATCTGGAAGCTGAAGTGACCATGACATTTAGAAAGTGGTGACCAACCGCTGTTCCTTGTATGGGCCTCTTGCTCTAGCGTCCATGGTAGGAAAGCAAGCCCGCCTCCCTCCCTGGCGTTGCCATGGCAATACTCTGGCTTGGGGCAGCAGCCTCTTCCCACGAGCATCCCTCCTGCTTCCTGCACTCACCCGTGGTCCTCCAAGCCCTCTCTCAATTTTGTTCCCACGTTCGCTTCAAAAGCTCAAATGGGGCCACCAGCTTAAAGCCCCCGGGGTTGGCAGGCTGGAAGAAAGGCCACGGCAGATTTCCAAGGTGATGGCACGTGGCAGGGTGTCCCGGGTGCCCTCTGGGATGGACAGATGGCACCTGGCCGCCGAGCATGCAGTGAGCTCTTGGGCCTCTTCCGTTGATGTAGTGCAAGTCACAGGGCGGGGTGGAGCACGTCAGGCTTCCTTCGCTGCTTTTGGAGGGTGTGGGGGGGGGCATTTCTGACTTGGTTTTCTGCAAGTTCCATGCAAATGGTTCTCTTCAAAGCCCATCGTTTTCTGTCACGGTTTCCATCTGTCCTCGGGAAGTCATTCCTTGGTTCTTTGGCATTTCGAACGTCTTGGCCATTCAAAGCCCCATGTTCTCTGCACTGTTTGGCAGCATAACCGTAGCAACGATTCCAAGCAAAGTGTCGTAACCTGACGGCATGGAATGCATGACATGAGGGTGGGCCCTTCCGCATACACTCTAATCACTATATTGCTTTTTTCTACACAACAACCCATAAGCCTTTATTAACCTTTCAAGAAAACGAAGAAGGTTACGGTTTGGGGGAACCGACCTCTTCACAAGCCAATGTGTCTGAGTATGTTTTAATAAACCTGATTTTTCTCGAGGCCCTAGTCTCTGCTGTATCCTGTCCTTGCCCCACCCCCACCCCACATCCGTGCAGAGCCCTGGGGTAAACCATGCCGACCCGCCCATCCCTCCCGTGGCCCTCCTCCGGTTTTCCGTCCTGCTAGCGCCTTTCTTGTCACCACGCTTGGGGAGGGGACAGCATGACACCAGAATGCGCCAGGCCCTGCCCTAACCTTCTTCACCTTTGGGAAGCCGCCTCCCACAGCATGTGCTTGCTTCTAGAGAACCAGGGTCCAGGCCTCTGTGTGAGGAGTGTCACTGGGTGGACTGGAAACGTGGGGTCCTTACTGGGAAGGAGTGGGAGGGAAAGCAGCTAGGACCTGGGGTGGGGGACGGGGTGAGGGCGGGTGCATGCAGACCCGGAACCCTCAAAATGACAGCTCCGCAGACAGCCCGGTCTGGCCGGTAGGTCCCAGCCGGTGGAAACCGACTGCGTGACACATTCTTGTGCCAGGAAATGGTCGCCCACCCCCGCTCCCTGGAGTCCTTCGGCGCTCCCTGACCCCAGCTGTGACTCGGTCTGCGGGAGCCCCCTTGCAGAAGGGATTAAGTCACACGACCATTTCTAAGTTTTTGATGGTCCAGCCGTGTACGCTGAGCTTGGCATGAGCGGCTGCGAGTGGAAAGTCGCGCGTCGCCACCATAAAAACGGAACCAGCGTGGAGCCATGGGGAACCTCACTTAATGAGACCTGTTCTTCCTTCTTTTCTTTTTTAAACCTCTGATACGTTATTGCGCTCTGGGTTTTGTTTTATTTTGGCTTTAAGATCAAGAGGGGGCCGAAAGCCCTCCCAATAGGGGGCGGAGGCTCGGGCGAGTTGAGGGGGATGGCATAGAGAACTTATTTTTCTAATGACTTCACCTGAAAGGGACAAAGAGACACCTTTGCCAAGAGACTGTGGCAGCCAGCTGCCCCCACGGAGCTAAGTTTAAATATAAAATTAAGTGGCACCTCTGTTTAAGATCTATGTGTGTGAACAAGACTGCTGGGGGTGGGGAAAGACCCAGAGAGAAGCACCTGTGATCAAAATACTTAATTGTAAGCACAGACCTTTCCGTGTCCGCTTGTAAAAATCACCCTGGGACTATAACAGCCACTCTTGTCCCCCCTTTTAATGGGAAGTGGGCATTCTGTGCTGGATTTCCCCACAGACGTGGAGGGCGGGAGTGAGGGGATCAGAGCACCGACAGACAAGCCGCGAAGCGCTGTGTGTCTCCAGGGCTTCCCAGGCAGCTGTTAAAAGCTGGGGATCCAGCGCTGCCCCCTGAGCAAGCGTGTGGGGTGGTTTTCTGGGTTGGCTGGATTGAACCCCGACCTGAAAGGGAGCATTGTGGCTTTTATAATCCTTGATGCGACGATTCTACCAGCTTACAGAAGTTCTCAGCAGGTGCTTTTCATTCATTGATAAAGAGCTAAGGCTCGTTTTTGATAGATAATATATATTTATTAAATGTATTAATGCGTGTTTTATAATGTACCTTCATCCTTCCCTGGCTGACTGTTGCATACTTATAAGAGAAAAAAAAATCGTTACAGAAATTTCGAGACAATCAATGTGTACCATAAGTGACTGTATATAAATATTACAAATCGAACAGGTTGTAAAGCATGGGCAGATAGGTTTTATTTTCAAAATGCTGTTCTTAACACAAAAAATAAAGGCTTTACTATCTACTTAAGATGTGTGGTAGCTTGTCAAAACAACCCAGAACAGCCACTGGGCTTCTGGATGTGCCTGGAGGCGAAGTCTGAGGCTCTATGATTTGGGAGAATCCTGGTTTAGTGGCAAAATTCAGAATACATGAGGGTAGGAATTCAGCATGCCCAGAAAAAGGGGGATTCGCTGTCACACTTTGGGGCATAGACAACAAAAATCCTGTTACTGGGGTCTGGGTGTCAGGGTCTCATCTTGCTGGGTGAGCTGCAAAAAGTTACGGGCCTGTCTCCTTGGGCAATGATCGCAGGCGGTAACGTCATCTTTTTATTTTTTTTTTTACGAAGCATACTCACTGGATAGCTTAAATCCCACGACGGAGGTTTGGAGCTTACATGGAAATATGGCTCTTTGCAAAGGTGGCCACAAGTGGGAAACTGGTAACCAGGACACTTTACCATCTCTGGGATCTCGAGTTCACTGTACATTTTAGTGGCGGTTGGTGCAGGAGAATATTCCTGAAGCGCTGATGATAAATAGATGGATGAAAGAATAAAATGTAGGGATAACGCAGAAAGGTAGGACTGGAACTTCCTTACGATCAACTATTTGCACTAAAGCATATTTGCAACAAATCCTATCTTCTATGGAAAAGGTTCTGGGTTTACATGTACCAAACCTAGTCTTTAAAGAAAAAAACATCAGAGGAAACATCACTGGGACATTCTGCTTGAATGAGGTCATTGGCGCTTGGAAAGGAAAGACACCCACAGCGTTTAAGGCGCTGGGGCCTTAGCTACAGCCTCCTCCTCCTCCTCCATTCTGCATTTCACTGTAAAGAAACAAAAGAGAAAATCAGGGTTGATTTACACGCCTAGACAGACGTGCCGCTTGGAAATCTTCGATGTGTGGACAAGACCGGTGACACCCAAACCCACGGGGCGACTATGGTTTCAGCCCCGTGGGTCCACCGGGAAGAGCACGAGGCCTTTGTGCTTGGAGGGCAGCACCTGAAGTCTCCAAGCCCATTCACACGACGTTCGTTCATGGCTATTCGTAACTCAGTTCAGAAGGAGGTCAGAGTGTGCTCGGCAGGTCGGGGGAACTGCAGGAAGTTTTGCGGAAGATGATGACAGATTCCAGGCTCTTGGCTCAAACCAGTCTGTCACCACTCACCCTGTTCCCCCCACCCACCCAACATTAAAAACTCCAGAGAGCACTGGGGTCAACACACGGTCAGAAGAGACTCTTTTCTAGTGTTTCGTGATCCTGACAAGAGCGTGATCCGGTGACTTCCTGAGCCAGCCAAACAGGAAAGTTCGCTGAACACAGAGCACGGCGCTATGTGTGAGGGAAGGGGTCCCCAGAGCTAAAAGCCGCTCCCCCAAAATATGGAGACCTAGTTCCCTGGGTGGGGGAAGGGGTCCTTTTGGAAAGAGCCTGTTTTTCTGTTTGGTTTTTTTTTTGGTTTTTAAATGTCTGCTTCTAGTGTCCAAATGCCTGGTGGGACGCCAATGCCTGAAGGGTGATTCTGAGCAAGGTCACAGCTCTGGCTACTTGTGGGACCATGTTCTGAGCAGAAAGGATGGTGGAGGTTGTTGCATATAGGGCAGAGCTTTCAGTGGAGCCTGGTCCTGATCCTGATGTCCCCGTGACCATGGGCACCCATTGGCCAGATTCACGCACGGGGTGAGGTGTGGACACCACGCGCAGTGCAGTCATTTCCCAATGGAAGTGGGCTGAAGGCCTTCGGCAGCACAGCCTGGCCCAGCCTTTTCAAACTCGGGCTACGCAAAGGCTGCCCAAGGCTTCCTGGAAGAGGTTTACTCAAAGGAAAGTCAATTCCCCACTCCTCAGTGCCTGTGCGTGGACTTACAATCGTGGGGTTTACATCGGTCCCCCTTCCCTACCTCTCCCCCTCCTGGCATTGCCCAGTGTGTAAAATTCCCAGGTGCCAAATGAGGCGATGTGAAATGCTGGCATCCCCCGGAGTCTCCCCAGTTTAATAACGATCAACATTCCTTTGGCTTTGTGAAGTACTAATAATTGTATTGATAACTCAAACCAGAAAAGTAGTTTTAATACTTCCAGCCTGCAAGTCATGGGAAATTTAAAAAACTTTTTCCACGTGTCTACTTTTCTTCCATATACATGGAAGCTACATGGGCGGTCACACTGACACCCCTATCGATGGTGACACCCAGCACCCAGCACCCAGCACAGCTCAGCAGGCGTGCTGAGCCATGACACCATCCAGCATGTGGATATTTAGGGACTGACTGGGGCAGGGGTTCCTGTTCTGTAGCACGTGCCAAGTTCCGTAGCCAGTTCCAGGCGACCAGCCTGATGACATCATGCAGCGATGGGAAGAGGGGCACAGAGCTGGGCTCTCTGGTTCCCATGGGACAGTGTTCAGAGAGACCTCAGGTGCTAGGCGGCTTTCCAGGTGTGGCTGGGGGACCAGCAGCATTTGCATCACTGGGAACCTGTGAGAAATGCAAATCCGGGAACCCAGCCCCAGACCTACAGGATCAGAAGCTGCGAGTAGAGCCCGTCCGTGTGTGCGCTAGTTCAAGCTGGAGAGCCCGACTACTGGTTCTCTATCCTGACTGCAATTAAGAAGCACCTGGGCAGCTTCCGAAGCCACTGGTGCCCGGGTCTCACCCCAGACATTCTGATATAATTGGCTGGGCATCAGGCTATTCAAAGTCCTCGGGGTTGCTAACCTCTGCCAGGGTTGAGAAGCACACATTGCGGTTGGAGTCCCTTTAAAGAAACGACTGACCGTCAGGACCCTCAGAGGAGTTACCAGAGCCTCAAAATTTAGGCCACTGGAATGACATGCTCTCTGACCCAGCCCTGGCAGGCAGATGCTGGAGGCTCAGTGTGGACGGAGGGAAGGCTTGGCTTCCGGGAGGGACCCCCCAATCCTGGGGTTTTCTATAATAGTTCCTCAACGCTACCTGAAGGAAGAACTCACCTGCAAACCATTGGCCCAGCATTTTAACCTATTCCTGTCCACACCTTCGTAGCCTCTTACCCACCCCCTACCTACACTGTGACCTGGGGAAAAGCCCTTCTCATCTCTTTCAGATCATTACACAAACATCTTGAGTGAGGAGGGTGGAAAGGGGTGCTAGGGGCTCGCCTTCAAATTAGAGTCAAGGTGCTATCGAGAGTTAACGGGCTGGAAATAACCGGGGACGTGGTCACCCTGGGATCCATCACTTGGGGGGCTCTGAACTCCCAACGCCCGGCCCATCACCTGGGGGGCTCTGAACGCCCAACACCGGGCCCATCACCTGGGGGGCTCTGAACGCCCAATGCCGGGCCCATCACCTGGGGGGCTCTGAACGCCCAACGCCGGGCCCATCACCTGGGGGGCTCTGAACACTCCCAATGCCTGGCCCATCACCTGGGGGGCTCTGAACACTCCCAACCCCCGGCCCCACCCTTGCCAATCAAGTCAGACTCTGGAGGTGGTGCAGCCGCCCTGGGAAACCGGCATTATCAAGCGAAAGTGACTGTGCAGGCCCTCTAGGATGCAGCCATTCAACTCCCGTATCTGTCCCCAGGAGAAGCCCTGGCATGTAGGTAGCAGGAGACATGAATTAGGATGTTCATGGCAGCAGAAAACGGGAACAACCCAAATGTTCATCAAGGGCTGGCTGGATAAAGACACCGCGGTTTCCCGGAACAGCGCGCACGCGGACGCAAACGCCAGTGAACCGCGGCTGACGGAAAGGTGCACAGTGCGGAATGGTACCTACTGTGTGATCCCATTTATAGCAAATCTAAAGGCATGCGTCAAAAGACAAAAAAATACTAAAGAAAAGCGAAGAACGATGATCACAAAAGGTTGGGGAAGCGGCTTCATGGGGAGGGGGGCTTTTAAAAGCGCTGACAGGCGCTCTAGTTCCTTAACTGGGATGATGGTCATGTGTTTGTTCAGTTATGTGTTTTTTATAGTCACTATGGTATGTATAATTCACACCCCCCCCCCCAAAAAATAAAAGGTAGAAGGAAACAAAGATGGTATTACAGGATACCACTTCAAATTACAAAGTCAACCGATAAAGGAAGAGAACAGGGCGATGGAACTGCTTTCGGACGGTGGGATGGGGTGTTAGTGAACTCCTCCCCATCCGTCGTAGCAGGAAACGAGGAGATAATGCCTAAAATCTTATCTGTCTGTTCGAGATACAGAAGTGACCACCCAGAGGAGCAGCTGCGAGTTCAAAGTGACTGCGACACAGAGAGCTGGTGACGCTCACTGTCCCCCTGCTTTATCCTCTCTGTTTCATCCATGGGAACCACTGCACAAGGACCACTCTGCTAGAAATGCAGCAGCAGATGAAGCCTCCCTGGTGGTTTCCTGCTGGTCTGGGCAGGACAGAGCCCTGCGGAGGTAGAAGGTCCTCAGCGAGGGGTGGGCAGGTGCCCGAGGGGAAGAGCCGGGTTCCACCTTGGCTCAGAGACGTCCTCGCGCTTGGCTTCCCTCACCATCAGGCAGATGCCTCCTGCCCCTGTGCTGTCCTTGTCCCCGTGGCAGGCTGGTGTGCGGCCAGCTCCGGAAGGGCTGGGGGAGTGGAAAATCCCGGGGAGATGCGCCAGCCCTCCAGCTTCAATGTAAGGCCATGTGACAAGGGAAGCCTGCATGCTAATGAGACTCGCTGCCGGTGGCCCTCGGCCTGTTCCAGTCAGTGATGGAGCGGAGAACTTGGGGCGGTGGGAGGGGCTGCCTCAGGCTGGGGACGTGGGGAGGAAACTCAGGGGCCACAGGGTCACCTAGCCACTCATTTGGCGTTGCCCAAATGTGGCCTCAGCATTAAGGATCACCTGGGCAAATATACAGATTCCTGGGCCCCCTGCACCCCTCAGGGCTTTAGAATCAGAGTCTTTAAGAGTGAGGCCTGGGGGTCAGCATCCCCCATCCCCTCCACCTCCAAGCTCTGAGTGGTCATTTTGATGTGACAAGTCCGGGAAAGAGTTCTGTGTCACTGAACCGTCCATCACTCAG